CCCCTCTCCATCTTCCTGCACTTAGACTTTTGCACCCTGCTGTAATTTAGCATTAGGCAGTATGGCAAGGTATTGATTGAGGGTCAGATTATTCCACAATTGCAAGTATTGTTATGTTTTACAAATTGATGAACTCTAAAAACAAACTCAACAAAAGGAACCGGTAGGCAAGACAGTGTTGGTAAGATACAATGGTTGCACAATCTTGACATAAACATTGACCATCATAACGGCTGAGAGTTTTTGATTATGCATTATGGTACCTTTTTAAGGAACTTCACTCATCATCCAGGAAAATCAGTCTTTGATGAGTGATCCAGTATCTGGGCTAAAGACCCAGAACAAGCATGGTGACGAGGAGTTCTGACTTTTTTTTTTTTTTCATCTGCATTCTTGTTTATTGAATCCAGTTGGTCAGAATAGTAGCCTCATTGTTTCACCCAGGAAAAAAGTCCACTTGAGGCTAGGTTCACACCTATGCGACACCTCACCACGTGGCAAACGTGCACGGATTGCCGCACGATCAGGAGTCGCCAAGGTGTGAACCGATCGCACTGTAGGTGCCATTATTTTCTAATGGCACCCCAGTCGCCATGAGCGGATTGCACGGTTTACCACCGCGATTCTGCCCATGCTTCCGAACATGATCGCGGCTAAAACAGCCGTGCATTCCCCAAAAAAAGAAGGTACATGTAACTTTTTTCTGCGATTGCCGCGCGGATCTCACCCCACTGAGATCAATGGGACCGTGTGGCAATCGCTACCTGCATTGTGCAGGACCGCGCGATCTCGGGACGCGCGTCCCTGGTGTAGTGCAGGTGTGAACCTAGCCTTAAGCGGCATATGCACCGCACCTTGTACACTGTAAACAATTTTGTTAGCAGATAGGTGCACATTTATTTAAGAAGAGACATAGCAGAAATGTTCTGCAATAAAAATAGGACTTTCTGTTAGCTTTTGTTTTTGCAAGCAAAGTTGCACTTTAAGTTGTATTTAGCACATATTCTTTTCTATTGATACAAAATTGTAACCACAATGCCATAACATCTGGTAATTCATGTTTGTTTATGTATTTTTGTTTCAGATCAAGAAGACACCATCTTGAAATAGGTTGGAGGTTTTTCAGTGAACAGAGAGAATGTGTACCAGAGATTCTTCAACAAGAAATGTATTTGTGGACTTGTTTTGTACATTTGAATCATATGTACGTTAATAGTGTATTTAACAACATAATACAATAAAACCTGAAACGTTTCATGACTGCTGCTTTTAATTAATTGAAGGCATATATTTTTGTAACTGCTCTACAAACCTAAATAGTTACAACTAAATATTGCTTGTGAAATAGTTTACATATCTATACCCCTATTGGCTATAAAAAAAATGTTTTATCAATGTAATGTATACATTTCTGTGGAATTAATTTTAAACAGGGGATTCTTTACTGTGAGAGCTGTAAAATTGTGGAACTCCCTTTCACAGGCACTGGTTTCAGCTGAAAGTATTGAGTCATTAAATAACCTTTTTAGATACTTTTCTCAGTGACCAGAATATACAGGGCTCCAGGTACACTTAGTAACTCATACATTCACATAGGTTAAACTTGATGAACCTGTGTCTTTATTCGACCTCAATAACTATGCAACTAATAGACCCCTGATGACTCCATAAAGAGGACATGTGACATCCTCTTTGCTATCACATAGGGGACTTGATAGCCCCCCATATGATGGCAATAAAATTAAAGTCTCATAAAATAAAACACAAACACGCCATACGTGTTGCACATCACTGTGAACGTTCTAGTGTGGGTAATAATTCTAGGTCTGTTAACCCTAAATTGATGAGCAGTAAAAGCTATTCAAGAGTCACCTATGAGCAATTTCAAGCACTTGTTTTTTTTGCCATTTCATAGGTGCACACAATTTTAAGGCTTTGGTATCCATTTACCCAACACGACCCCCATCTTTTATTTTGACCATAAAGATGGGTTTTATATTCTGCGCTAAATCAACTTTAGTTTCCTTTTGTTACTTTTGTTTCCTGAAAAGACTGGATTAATAAACGTGTGTGTGAATTAAGAAATAGTTTTGGATGGCAAGGGGTTAGACATGCCTACAATATGGCACATACAAGATCCCAACAAAACCTCTCAGCCGTGTTAGAGCTATATAACAAGAGGGCAAGCAACTACAGTCACTAGCTATTTGGCCTTTAACCATAATAAATATTAGATCACATCCAAAACAGTTGTATTTTATTTACACTCCTTGTAAAGATTCAGCCCTGAGAGACAAGAGGTACCCAGTACTTTGGAGTATAGAGGAGCATGTGATTTACTCCATGTGTCAGTGCTAGGCCAATCAAATTCAGCAAGTTGTAGCTTTCACAGGGTTTTCCTTTTGCTCAAGGAGGGTAAATCTATGCATATGTGGAAGTTTGCAATAATGTGAATATGTTGCATGTTGTGTAGCAGGTAATATAAAAAAATACATTGAACTAAACTCTGCAGCACTAATTCAAACTATGTGCTTGCTAAATATACACAATACTTTACATTTAAAAAGAAAACGGTAGAAACACTTTTAAGATGACATTTCTGACCTAATTCTTAAATACGAGTTGCCTGACTGTTTGTTTCTGGATTCAATGGTTTGAATCGTTGTCCTGGAACAAGCATCAGGCAGGTATTGTCACAACTCCTGATCTGTAAGTAAACACAGACAAGAAGTTATCATATTGCTATATCCCTCCTTGATTCAATTCTATTTCTCCCCAGCCCACATCTACTTTGCAAAACTTAACTACATGTAATTGGAGTAACTTCTGGAGGCTAAAGCCCCTGAGGTGTTCTCATGCCATAGTGAAGGTAGAGATGCCTCTTCCAAGAAATAAATTATATATCTGAAAATCCAGTAGCAGCCTTCATTGTTGGTTCCATTATATGTAAGCTCAGGTCAAAAAAAAAAAACCCAGTACTTTAATTCAACTTTAATGATGGTACTTAACCTAATTCTAAACATAATTTACATGTTAAAACTAGAGCATCACTTTAAATATTTGGAGTCCTTCATATTGGCCACCCAGGCCATTTTTTTACCTCTACAAAAGTTAGTGGTAAGCATTGGGAGGTACCTCATTGCACCAGTGGGCATCTTTTAATTTATCTCTCTCTGCTGGCATCACCAAAGAAGGGGTTAACACTGAGGAAATGATTTGCTGACATCCGCTAGGTGAAGTGTCGCGAAAACGCTCCCCTTTATGCAATTCAATGTCGAAGCATCTCCCCAATGCTACTCCTGCCTTGTGAAGAGCCACATTGAACTCCAGTCTTCGGTCTGTTCCTGCTGCCCTCCTGCATCGACTTGGTCACCTTCGGCCATCTGACCCTACACCTGCTGCCAGCAGTTAGGTTCTGTGAGTACCTTTACCTCATATCATAAACCACGTTGCTTCACTGCCACATGGTTGCAACATATCTGATTGTAGACACGGGGAAAAGTCCCACTGCTCCAGGTGCCCCCAGCACACACTCCACTAATGGCACTGATGATGTTTCCAGCGTGCCTAATGTGGCCAGCATCTGGAATGATGTTGCCCTCTGCTCTGTAGACTGTCATCAGAGTCTTCCCTTACCATATTTAATGTTGCCCTTTAAGCATTTTTAAAATCACTACCCCCAGTCAAACAGGATGAAATGCCTCCATGACCTTCGATTTCTGAGTTAGTCAAAACAGCACTCTCATTTGAAGCAGAGGTACTTTCTTCGGTATACCCAGCCTCAGATGATAACTTGCATGGTCCAATGCAAATATAATCTGTCTCCTTTGTAAATAACCACATACCAGGGGCCCCTGGTAGTAGAGTTTTTATGCTGAGACAAGGTGACCTACAGTTTTAGATGTGTGGTAAACAGTTCCTAACTTAATTTTAGTACCTCTAACCTCTAACCCTGAGGAAGCAAGTAACGAAACGTGTTGGAAGTCTAGACCACCGCACCTCGTCATCTGAAGATATGGAATATTCTATGGATTTCTTGAGATAACCAACTATTGTATTGTAATAATATATGATACATGCCAGTGGTATAGAGGTACTTCTTTGCACTTCCTTGACGGAATGTTTTGGGTCATTGTCATGCTGAAAGATCCATCCACGACCCATCTTCAGTGTTCTTGCTGAGGGAAGGAGGTTCTCATCCAAGATTTTACAATACATGGCCCCGTCCATTGGCCCCTCAATGCGGCAAAGGCAACCTGTACCTTTAGCAGAGAAACAGCCCCAAAGCATAATGTTTCCACCTCTGTGCTTGACTGTAGGGATGGTGTTCTTAGGGTCATAGTCAGCATTTTTCTTCCTCCAAACCACGGCGAGTCGAGTTAATGCCAAAGAGCTAAATTTTGGTCTCAGCTGACCACAGCACTTTGCTCAGAATCCCTCTCTGAATCATTTAGATGTTCATTGGCAAACTTCAGACCGGCCTGTACATGTGCCTTCTTGAGGAGGGGGACCTTGCAGGCGCTGCAGGATCTCAATCCATGGCGGTGTATTGTGTTACCAATGGTTTGTTTGGGGACTGTGGTCCCAACTGCCTTAAGATCATTAAGATCATTCAAAAGCTCCTCCCGTGTAGTTCTGGGCTGATCCCTCACGTTTCTCATGATCAACACTACCCCATGAGGCGAAATTTGAATGGAGCTCCAGTCCGAGGGCGATTGATGGTTATTTTGAATTCCTTCCATTTGTGAATAATCGCTCCATCAGTTGTTTCCTTCTCACCAAGCTTCTTGCTAAAAGTCTTGTAGCCCATTCCAGCCTTGTGCAGGTCTACAATCTTGTCCCTAATGTCCTTTGACAGCTCTTTAGTCTTGACCATGGTAGTGAGGTTTGAATGGAAGAAAGAGATTCTGTGGACAGGTGTCTTTTATATACATAAAGAGTTGTTGTTAGGAGAACCTTCTTAAATTGATAGGACTAATCTGTGTACCACATAGCCAGTTTGTGATAGTCAGCGCTGGAGGGTCGGAGCGGAGAGGGGGGAATCCAGCCCCTCCCCTGTCACGGCACAGAGCCGTGACAAGATCGAGAGGTGAGCGAACGCCGGTATGTGTTCGCTAACCTCCCGATCTACTGAGCCGACCTGTGACAGTGTCGACTAGAACTATGAGGTGAGTGAAAAGCACTCGCCTCATAGTTCTCCTTTAAGAGTGTGTGAATCTTGGAAATAGCTTAAATGCTTCCTATCACCATGCTCACCCATATGGTATATGCTTTTCTGAGATCTTTCTTAAGAATCACATGTTCAAATACCTGTTGATCCTGCCAGCAAGTCTCAGTTCCAGCTAACATTTTACAGTGTTACACATTCAATTCCTGTGGCATCGTTGTCGGTTGACAATGTTGACACTATGCACATTCCCACAATTTAACTATAGGACGCCATATTGATGCACATCGTTCCTGACGTTCATCATAGTCAGCCACTTACAGTATGTCAGAGGCAGCCATGCCTCTTGGCCTGCCGTGATTGACAGTGACTCCTGTAGGTAATACAGGTGAAACTCGAATAATTAGAATATCGTGCA